ATTCACTGGTCCTGACATCAACACCCAGAGCTGATGGAGAGACCTTTACAGGTCTTGATCAGATTTCAGTCTCGGAGACAGAAATTCTTCAAGTTCAGGAGTTGCAGACAAAAATGGATCTAAGTGTAGAGCGTAATGATGGGAGGCATGTGATCTGTCATCCAAGCACAGCTGGAGCTCCTGTTAACTTTGTGCTCTATGGTTAAGTTTACAGGAATACTCACATTGGTTGCAACTTTTTATTTTAATACATTTGCAGGAATTTTAAGCTGTTTTTCACGTTATGGATCATTGTGTTGAATTTTTAGTAGAAAAATGATTTTAATAAATTGTGGAATAAAGCTGTAACATGACAAAATGTGGAAGAAGTGCTGTTAAAAACTTCAGCATGCTCTGTAGTTAGTAAATAATATGTTTCATTTGGAAATAGAGTCAGTGCCAATAACTACACCAGCTCCACTGTGACACCCTGTTAAATAAAAGACACTGTCCACAAAACGTGTCCAACACCAGCTTCATCTTTTCTGAACAAAAGTCAGGATATTGTCTTTTTGAATGAATGGAACTAAAACATTTCACTGTTATCGGTATACAGTTATAATTTACTGGAAATCCACTAAGTAAACCTGGACAACCTGTCAAATCACAAACCTCTTCTCAAACAGAATCAGTGTTTGCGCCGTGCAGTACACATCTGCTCATCACTGGATGAAACACTGCATCTATTCATGGATTATTGTGCTGCTGTCACTGCTTTTATTTTTATGTAACACACTGATGCAAAGACCACAGAAAAAACACACGTGAAGTATTAAAACATGCAGGTGTATTTGCATAAAAAGGAAACAAGTGTGTATTTAGGAGGTGAAGGAAAAATCAAAAGGTGACGAGTCAGTGACAGCTTGGATGCAGGTGCATCGTCATGAAGGTGACCTTCCCACTGAACGTGAGCCTTTAACTGTCCAATGTTACATCTGTGCGTCAGTGGTGAGACGTCATCATTTTGATTTTTTTCTAGTTTTAGACAAACGTCCAGACATCAGCGCGCTCGTCTGTGGCCTTTTTAATTTCTCCCATCTATGAGATCAGCTCGCAGGAAACAAACACGGAAACAATAAAGCTGCCGTCGTTTAACAAAGTTTAAAACACTTTCCTGAAGCACAAAGTGCAGGAAATCCTAAATGTCACCCTGTGAGGACACGGGGGGTGAAGACATGTGCTTCCTCTTCTGAGACCACAGCAGCTCTCAGCATCAGACGCTCTGCAGTACTCCATGAAACTGATTCCTAATCCCGTTGCCATGTCAGCAGATCGTAATATTGACCTTATTTTGAAGTGTACATGTTGATTTGTGTAAATTACTCAGACGAGGTGGAAAGTTGAGGCTTGTAGCAATAAACTCAAACGACCACTCAGTGATTAAGTAAATAAATGATATTTTATTGAAAGACTTTAGTTTGATGACAGGTTGTTTGACCAGAG